CCAGGGAAATGAAGAAAAAACCCACAGAATGGGAGAAACCTTCACCTGCGACACATCTGACAGAGGTTTAATATCTGGAATATATAAGAACTCAAAAAACAGAATCAAGACAAGAAGTAACCAATTAAAAATGGGCTCCTGGGTGTGGCACACGCCTTTAATCCCAGCACTCAGGAGGCAGAGGCAAGAGGATCCCTGTGAGTTCAAGGCCAGCCTGCTCTACATGGTGAGTTCCAGGACAGCTCGGGCTACAGGGAGACCCTGTCTCAAAAACAAACAAACAAACAAACAAAAGATGGGCTAAGGAGCTGAACAGAGATTTCTCAAGAAGTAAAGATGGCTATGAACATCTTAAAAGATGTTCAACATCACTAATAATCAGGGAAACGCAAATTAAAAACCACTTTAAGATTTCATCTTACCCCAGTCAGACTGGCTAAGATCAAGAGAACAAATGATACCAAATGTTGGAGAGGATGTGGGAAAGGGAAACACTCATCCACTGCTGGTGGGCTGCATACTTTTTCAAGCCCTATGCAAAGCACTGTGGAGAACTGTTAAAAAAAAAAAAAAACTACAAATGAACCTACCATTTGACCCAGTTATACCACTCCTTGGCATATACCAAAGAACACATCCTATTGCAGAGACACTTGTACATCCATGTTTGTTGCTGTTTTTTTCACAATAGCTAAGAGATGGAAACAATCTAAGTGTCCCTCAATTGACGAGTGAATAATGAAAATGTGTTTCATTTATACAATGGAGTTTTACTCAGCAGTAAAGAAAGACGAAACCATGAAATTTGCAGGTAAATGGATGGAACTAGAAACTGTTATACTAAGTGAAGTAACACAGACTCAGAAAAAAATCGACATATATTCTCCCTCATATGTGGATCCTAGAACCAAATCCTGATAAGTGAGTATGTATCCAAACATAGCTACAGGAACCAGGATAATGGAAAGGAAACAGGCAGGTAAAGGAAAAGAAAGAACCAGAAAGAGAAGAAAAGTAGGAAATGTGTTATAGGGAGATATGGATAAAAATTGGGATAGTTTAAGGGAGGGGGAAAGGAAGGGTATACAAGGAACCTAGGAGATAAAGGGAAAGAAGGAGCTCAAGAGAGGTAGGACCATAGGAGAAAGGAGAAAGGGGAAAAATGGGGGCACCTTAATTGGGGAAACCATGATGGAGGGGTGAGACAATGTGAGAGATAAACAATGCCTAGCTAGCTTTGGAAAACCAGAGGGAACCATATTACTCCTACAACCTACTGAGAAATTATACATAGCAGATCAAGAAATATATGTCTAGGTAAGGTTTATCTGAGAACAACTGATCTTTGCCCAAGA